CTTTCCAAGCTTTAATGATTTCCTTGTTTATTCCTAGATATGTGCCACCCTGGAGGCCACTAATGGACATCACACATACTCATTTTGAGCTATCTCATTTTTTTGCACAACCTTTATTCTTTACATGTTTGGATCATGTCTAAACATTTTTGGATCTATTCTCTTGGAAACATTATTAATACAATGTTATTTAAAAGTGGCAGAGTAAACAGTATCATCATTTGCTAAGTAAAAATTCTGCAATTTGGGTACCTTGTCCTGTGTATTTGAACATTTTCCCCAAGGGTGGTGTTCGATCAGAACTCAGAGAAACAAAACCAGTAGCAGCAATATATTAAGGGATTTATTGCAAGGAATTGGCTTACACAATTGTAGGGGCTGGCTAGGCAAGTCCGAAATCCAGAGGGCCAGCCATGGGGGAGGTCAGAGAAACCAAAGCAAATCTGCTGTTTACAGGCAGAATTTCTTCTGGGAAGTTCTACTTCTGTCTTTAACCACTTTGGGACCAGCGTCGACTGTAGTCGACAGCCACAGATGAACACACAGTCAAGTGTCGACTATAGTTGATAGCCACAGATGAACACGCACAACAACTTTAGCCGACAGCCGTGATACGAAGGCGCACAGCCGAGCGTCGACTTTAGCCGAGAGCCGACTTTTCTAATTTTTCATTTATCAAAATAAAATTGTGAACATTTAAAAATAATGTAATGAAAACATATATGTATATGTTATATTCTGATTTACAAGTAAAGCTGCCTGTAAAGTAAAACAAGCTTTCAGTGCTTTAAAGCTTTCCTCATCACACAACAGCAAAACTGATTTGTCGTCCATGCACAGCACAAGCTATTGGGCGAACCATGAGTGCCGGCTGAAGGTGAGGTTTCGCAGCTGGTGAGCGCCTTCCCGAAGTGGTTAAGCCCCTGCAACTGATTAAATCAAGCCCACTGAGGTTATCTAGGATTATCTCCCTTACTCAAATAGGCTGATTATGGACTTTAATCACATCTATAAAATACTTTCTCAGCGACACAGAGATTAGTATTTGATTGAATGAGTGGGATTATAGCCTTGCCAAGATGATGCATAAAACTGACCACCACAGGTGGCAATTACTTCTGTGGTCATAGAGCAGTCACAAAACATTACTGATTATTTTACATTCACATGGAGACAAAGTTTGGTTTAAAAAGCTGCTATATGCAACCTCAACCATTTAATTTTTTTTCAAACAAAGCATGAAGTCCAAAATTAAATGGAACTCCTTGTTATACAAAGTCCACTGAGTTTGCCTATATTGCTGCTGCTTGGCGGGGAGATGTCTTTCTACAATAAGGCCTTTGATTATGATCAATAAAAATGTGCACATCACACTTTGCTACCAGCTGGGCTAGAAAATTTATGCCAATTCCTTGCCTTGTTCTTGATGAAGATGATGCAGGCTATCACAGTGGTTCTCAAACTTTTGGGGCTCAGGAATCCCTTATATGCCTCAAAATTATTGAGGACTCTAAAGAGCCTTTGTTTATATTGACAACTATTTACCATATTGGAATGAAAACTGAGCTGAAAATATCAACTCATTAAAAAATAAACCTATGTTAACACATTTTCAAATGAGAAATAACTGTTTTCCAAAATAAAGCAAAGAAAAAAAAGACAATGAGAATGGTATTGTTTTAGAATTGTGCAAATCTCTTTAATGTTCCTTAATTGAAGGCAATTAGATTCTCATATACCTGCTTCATTAATAAATGTAGTGAGTATATTGTTTTCACTGACATATGAAGAAAATCCTAGGGATTTTCAGACTCCCTGGAGCCTCAGGGAGCCCCAACGCCCACATTTAGAAACTGCTGGTACATGGCATTGGATCCTTTTCAGGCCTTGAATTCCTCTGAGAATCTGACAAACAATAATGGATTCTTTCTAAGGAGCTGCTGGAATGTACACAATTTTGTGAGTTTACCCTTTGAGGATTCCCCGTGGACCCTCTTTCTACCCATAAGTCTATTTGCTCCTGGTTAGGATGCTTGGACACTGGTCTGACAAGTGTTTTTTATGTAATGCTGAATAAACTGCTTTTTCCAATACCTAGACATAGAGTTTCAAAACCAGAGAGGAAATAATATTGAAAGCAAGGAAGGAATAATGTTAGAAAGGCAGGAAAACAAAAGGTGTTTTACTAGCTGGGTGCGGTGGCACGTGCCTATAGTCCCAGATACAAAGGAGGCTGAGGGAAGGGGAGGATCCTCTGGGCCCAGGAGTTCCAGGTTGCAGTGAGCTATGATTGTACCACTGCACTATAGCCTGGGTGAGAAAGAGAGACCCAGTCCTTAATTTAAAAAAAAAAAAAGGATGGTTTACTCAGTAAAGATCTTTATCAGAATTCTTGAAAGGACAAAACCATTTAAGAAGGAAACTTAATCATCTTCTTTTGCTACATGAAGATTATGAAGAAAAATAATCTCTTAAAACAAATCACTGTATAAACTAGATGACTGCTTGAGTCATCATCAACTTAAGAAGACAGAAGCACTGTGTCAAGTATTTATTTGTACCATATCAAGCTGGTAGCAAACCTCCTGGGAGGGCTAGAGGGCTACCTATGTGCAGGGTAGTATGGTCACCTGCAGAATATAAGCAATAACCCGATTATAATTAGGGATTACAGAAGTGAAAGGTGTGGAGGAAGTTTTAGGTAAACAGAACATTCTGCACTGTTTTCAGAGTTTAATAGCTGAATCATTTATAAACATTCTGATAAAGATCAGAAACTAAAATACATTTCTGTTAAAAACATAGATTTGCATTTACCAAAGAAGACATGATTCTGAGACAGTCAAAGGAAAAATAAATTCAATATTATCAACAGGCAATGATGCACTTATCTTAGCCAATGGAAATTTTTACAAAGGGTCTGGGAAAATAACCGACTGTTGCACTCATTTGATTATCAGAATCTGGGAGAACACAAGGTGCCTTATGGTTCTGGCTGCAGATATAGGGACATGACATGGTAAAAGTAAACTAAATGGTCTTGACAGAAAATGACCACAGGTGATTTCAGTAGGTATACTCTAAGTAATTAATAAAACTAGGAGAAAGCACATTTCTATGGAAATTTGGGCACAAATGTTTGCTTCTTAGGGCACTGGAAGGGTCAGTGATCATAACTGTACTGGCATATAAATCACAGGTCTGGAAAGATCTCAAAAATTGAAAATGGGTCCTTGGACAAACTATTCCTCTAACAGGCTCTAGAAGGGGTAGTAAGTATTAAGAACAGGTTTACTAAAGAGACTACGATAACAAAGGAGTTTGGGGGAGAAAGACCATTAAAAATGGCTGATTATTTGATAAGCAGAGAGAAAAAGCCAGTGATTTTAGTAACAGTAGTCACCTGTACGAAGAATCATTATGCAATGGGCACTAATTAAATTTTATTTCCAATTTTGCAGGAAAAGCAGCATAAGTTGCAATATGAGGGATCTGGTTTCAATATAACAGTCAGTTTTGACAAAAGCAGTCTTAAGAGTCACCAACATTAAACAATGGAGTAAGATCCAAGGATGGCGTGGAATTTTTGCTTTTCAAAAAATACAATGCCCTGGAAGGCTGTCTGCAAGCAGGGGAAGGCTAGAGATGGCAACTTTGGTCTTTGCCAATTCTCGTGCTATTTTCTGTATGTGATACTATCTATTCTATAACTCAGTGGCAACACACATACTTACTGTTAAGACTTGAATTCCCATTGGAGTTATCTATTACTCACAGCCTTCCTCTATGGGAAGGCTTGCAAGTGGTTCATACTCAACATTTACACATGATGAGCACTCATGTGGGCTTCACAATGTAACAGAGGTAAATGAAAATTCCTGTAAACAGAGAACTTTATAAAATAGAGAATTAAGCAATCTCACTTTGAAGAAATATTACTGAAGATTAAATTCCTTTAACAGAGCAGGCAGGCTTAAAATGCATTGCTTGTACTACTATACGATTGCAATGACATTTTTTTTTCATTTTTAAATTTGTGTGCCAGTTAAAAATTATGAAATGACATATTTATCATGGGATTTTGTTTAGCTAAATTCTGGAAAAGTTGGAAAATACCTTTAATTCAATTTTAGTAGGCTTCGGGTCATTTAGCACAGGTGATTTTTGCATTTCTGAAAGGTTACCCTGTAGTTTTAATAAACATGAACAACTTAAGCACACTAAATCTTGAGAGACCTAGTAAATGAGAGATTTAAAAGGCATAATTTCTTCCTTTGCTCACATGAAAGAATAGCTTGAGCTCATTAATCTTGCATTGCTAAATTAATTCCTAAATATTTTGATAAGTAGGTTTGATAATTATTTGTAAAATATTAGTTACATGTTGAATTGTCATGTTAAGATTTGTATTTGTTGTTAATGGGATATGAAAGGGATCAATTCCTAAAACTAAATGCATGGCTCATTCTGCTGAGGTCATAAATAGAAAAGTTGAAACTTCAATGAACATAGTACAGCTATCTGGGTTTGAAGCAAAAGGCTATGGAATTAGGTATATGTAGTTTATACTGTATATAAATAAATCTTTCCAGTTTTAGTCAGTATATCTGGAGTCATATAACAGAGAATAATTCTCCGATTCAAACACATTTAATTTCTAAGGATTAGAGCTATTCTAAGAATTGAAACTATCTCATTTTTTTCACTAGTTCATTAGTATAGCACTCATTTAAGACTACTTATGAGTACAGTGATATTTCAGAGAATATAAAATGATGGAAGAATAAAACTTAAAAATCCTTTGTTTGCAGGCAAGATGTGAGAGATTAGATCTGCATTTGTTGTGAACAACTGAAAGAACTGTCACAATTGTTTTGAAGAAATAACAAATGTATTTAAAATATGGAATTCTGTAGTATTAGCAATTTTGACAACTTTTGTTGAGAGACAAAACACCCTGTATGTTTGTTCCATGGCTTAGAAATTAAATAATCCCACAATTTCAATTTCCACTAAAATATTTAATTAATATCTTACAGAAATAAATAAGAGCAGTTTTTCTCTAATACAGATAAGTATATTTATATATATGTCCTTTTATTTTTACAAAATTGAAGCATATCAAATTGTTTTCTCTAAAACACAACTCAGAAAGTAATACTAGGAAACAAACTGAAAGAAATACTGAAATAGTCTCATTATTAAATTATAACCATGGGCCTTCTGAACCTTAGCATGACGTTTACTTAGTAAAAGAACATGAGATTTGGAGTCAGGGAACCTGGGCTCCACTGTTTACTTGCTACATGCCATAGGGAAGTTTCTTAATATTTCTGAACCTCAGTTCTCTACCTTTAAAACAGGAATGATATTAATTATATCAACTTCACAGGACTGTTAGGCAAATTAAATACGTAAATGTACAGGAAAGCTCTTTATAATATGCAAAGAGCTACAAAAATATTAGTAGTAGTTCAATTTAATTTCATATAAAAGAATCAATGCATATCTCCCTTCAACTGAAGAATAAGCACCAAAAAATGTGTGTTCTCTTCAGCTGAATTATATCACCCGAAAAACCTAGAGTAAGAAGATGCACCTTAACTAAGCACCAAAGCCTGTTGGACAAATGTAATTCATGGGATATTTCTATTAGTTTTTTGGGTAGCTAAGTAGGAGCTAATGAATGAGTCCTGAGGATCAGTTAAAACTCTGAAGGCTCAAGGAAAAGAAAACAAAACAAGAACATTTGTATTACAACAAATGGCTAGGATACAACGAGCTACTCCTTATTCAGCGATTTCAAAGTCCATTGATTCTTCACAGAAGAAGAAACACTCAGTTATTATCACCTTGCAACTATCTGCTTATATGAACACAGCATTCTCTTGTTCAAAAGATCAAATGCTAGTCCTTAAGGGAAGAACTGGATTTAAATAACAAACTTCAAATTTAGATATTCGTGGCTAAAAAGTCTAGTTACACAAGAACACAAGAAAGAAAGAGAATTCAAAACATCAGTATAATGATGATTAAAAAAAAAACCTTACCATATTTTCCATGTTATAATGATAAGACTTAAAATCATAAAAATTGCCATATTTACAGATACATCAATCTTAAAAATGTATAAAAACTTAACAATAAGAAAAATTAAGAGTAGAGAAAGCAGATAATTTTAAAGTAAACATTAGTACACTTAAAAATTCTATTTGGAATTAACTGGTTACACTGACACTACTTAACACATAATAGAAATATGAAAACTTTTCAATGTTTTGATTTTTAGTAGCAAGATATAGAAAAAAGAAATAACAATTATCTAACATTAACTTATACTATTAAATTAGTATGCATGGAGTCTAAACCTACTCAAATAACTAAGAGTTAATGTAATTCACCACCTACTTAAAACACTACTAACAAGATATTGGTGAATCATGTGCTGCAGACACTAACGGCCCTTCCAAAAATGAGATCTATGTTGGTTGAATATGTCAGGTCATATAAAACTAGACTAGCTCACTTTCTCTCTTACTCCAACTCTTTTTCCAACTGATCTTTTTAAAAAGAAAGTACCCATTACTTCTCTTAATTGTCTTGCCTCATCAGATATACATATTCTTTGGGACAAAAATAAATGTTTTATTAGGAGTGTAAAATTAAAAATCTTTATAGATCTTCTGAAAACAGTATACTGAAGACGATTCAATAAGTACTAGGCCATTGTATAATCAAAAAAAGAAACAAATTCATTCAACTAGTAACAGTGTTTACTGACATCTACTAGAGTTTTAAACTTATAACTTTGCTCTACAGCTACGAAAGTTTATTAATACATTGAAGTCTGTGGACTGAGTCAAGTGTAATTCATTCAAGCTCTTCAGTTTCTTTGGTAAACAGGTCTGCCAGATCAGCCACGGTCAAGACGGAGGCCTCTGAATGCTTCACTGATGAGTTCGTGTGACTGCAGGGTTTTCCAAGCGAGCACAGTCAGAAAGAAACCCTCCAAAATCAGTGATTATATTTGTAATAAAATAAAACTACATACGTAATTGTTCTTAAGTTTTTGTAATTGGGCCATAAGAAAATCACAGAAGAAAACAGGCGATAAGATTATAAAATCATGTCAAAATTAGTGAAGATTTCTGTATATTATTTTCAGGCCTTGTCATAAAAATTTTTTTTCTGCTCAATTAGTAAAACAAAGAATAAAGCCCCCAATAACTGCTATTAAGGCTTTTACCTACCTTACAATGTACCTTCTTACCACCTAAATTCTTTTGTTTTTGTTTTTTTGAGACAGGGTCTTGCTTTGACACCTGGGCTAGAGTATAGCGGTGTGATCATAGCTCACTGCAACCTCAAACTCCTACGCTCAAGTGATCCTCCTGTCTTAGTCTACTGAGTAGCTAGGACTATAGCATGCACCTCCATGCCTGGCTTATTTTTAATTATTTTTAGAGATTGGGTCTCACTATGTTGCCCAGGCTTATCTTGAACTCCTGTCCTCAAGCCACCCTCCTGCTTTAGTCTCCCAAAGTGCTAGGATTATAAGCATGAGCCACCATGCCCGGCCTAATGTTAACTTGTTTCAAGAGAATTTCAATGGCCCTTTTAATTGCTATTTTATTAAAGCAGCTTAAATTAAAAATCACTGAAGTCTGTTACACATGGAAACAAGAATAAAAAGCCTTGATTTTTAAGTAAAAAGCTCTTGTGGTAGCCTCTTTCCTTCCCATAAGCCACCCAGTAGAAGAAAATTTCTGGTTTCAAATTGCTTTTTTGCTATGCAAAGTACCTCTGTGGAAACAGTCCCTTCTAAGGTAATAATCTCTTCCGCGGGTATCTTCCAATCTTACCTATCTCCCAAGGATGTAAAAGGCATTGGTTTGTTTTCAAAATGACTTTAAAGAAAAATTATGGCATAAACGTTAGAAAGTTTTATGATTCTAAAGGTCAAATTTTTACAATTAAGACTGTTTTGGCCTCTCTGCCTTTGGAATTGACACCACAATTACCAGCCATGTTTTAAAGTTATTTCTATTTGCATCTGACTAGTTAGTGTGATGGATAAAGCAGCAATACAAGTTTAGTTTACACATAGCAGGCTAAGGCTTATAAGTCAGGCATAAAGATTTATTTCATTTATAAAGTGATCCAATGTGGCAAAAAAAATGTAAGGTAGTCTAAATATTTTTACATATTATAACCTATTAATAAATTAATTCAACCATAGAACATCTAGGACATTAACGGGGAAACACTGAATAGGCAAAATGTCACACTTTGCTTTTAAAAAGTATTTGTATTTATATCTTCTGTTGTCATCTAAGTGAATAAGTTCCAAACACATACACAAATTCAAATTAACAGGAAAACTTTACATGTCATGAGTTGCTTAAAAAGAAAAAAAAAAGGGGGAAATTTCCCCCCATCTAGTGGTAGCAAATTGTTACTTACCTTTTCTCAGCAGTTTTCAGCATTGCTTGCATTCTTTCTTCTATTGTTGCTTTAATTAAGAATCTGTGTACAATAGTAGGTCTAGAAGGCACACAACAATTTTAAGCTTAAAAACATCTTAAAACTAATTAGTACAAACTGACTTCACATTTTATACTTTCTATTCATCAGTCAGTTGGTGCCCACTTTTGGCAGGTACTAATCAAGGTGTTTTGGGAGATTCAGCAGCGAATAAAACAAACCATTTAATCTTCACAAACTAACATTCTAATGCAGGGAGACAGAAAACAAACAGAGAAAGAAATAAGATAATTTCAGGTACAATGTCATGAGGAGGCTTACAAAGGAGTTGAAACAGAGTGATGGGAATGAGGTCAGTAGGAGGAGGTGCAGGACACCAAAAGAAAGAACAGCACATGTGTGCATAGTCCCTGGGCAAAGAACACACTTGGAACAAGATTAAAATGTTCAAGGGGTCAAAAGAAGGCTAGCATGGTAGAAGCATACTGTAAATGAGAGAGCGCGGTGGAAATGAAGTTTAGAGATCATGAAGGGGCCAGATCACGTAGGGTCTTGTAGGACATGACCAGGAATTTGGATTTCATTGTGGTTATAATGGGAAACCCTCATAGTTTTATGCATGATTTGACTTATACTTGATTACACTTTAGAAATCTCTTTGGTTGCTGTAAGGAGGATATAGTGTCTGATGGCAAGAGTGGAGCCAGACTATACAGAGAAGCCAGGTTCTGTAGTCATCCAGGTAAGAGAAGTGAATTGTACTATAGTCGTATCAGTGGAGACTATAAGTAGTTGAGTAGATTTGGAATATCTTTTGGTAGTAGAGCTGACAAGACTTAAATGATGATTTGGATGTGAGATGTCAAACGAGAAATATGGAAAAGCCCTAGACTTCTGATCTGAGCAACTATAGGTGACAGTGCCACACTGTAAAATAGGGAAGGCTTGGGGCATGGGAGTGCAATAGGAATACAGTTTTGTTTTGTCCACGTAAACCTATTAGACACCCATTAGACAGGTATCTAAGGGGGGCACAGAGTCCACAGATATATGTATAAAGACAGAACTGGATATGAACCTGGGACAAAAGCTATAAGGGAATGTCTGGGCCCAAGGGATAAACATTTCAGAGTCATCCATGTACGAATGCTAGTTAAAGCCCTGATATCGGATGAACTCACCTAGGGAGTGCAGATAGATGGAGAAAAACAACTCTCAGACCACTGGCAAGAAGCAGGTCATTAATAATGTTATAAGCCTCATTTCAGTCATATGGTAGGGAGGAAAAAAAAGACAATCAGAAAGGATGAGAGCGAATGGGAGATAAGTACGTGGAGGTAGAATGTAGGGAAGTGTTTGTTTTTTATTTTTATTTTATTTTATTTTTTTTTTTTTGAGACAGAGTCTCGCTTTGTTGCCCAGGCTAGTGTGAGTGCCGTGACGTCAGCCTAGCTCACAGCAACCTCAAACTCCTGGGCTCGAGCGATCCTTCTGCCTCAGCCTCCCGAGTAGCTGGGACTACAGGCATGCGCCACCATGCCCGGCTAATTTTTTATATATATATCAGTTGGCCAATTAATTTCTTTCTATTTATAGTAGAGACGGGGTCTCGCTCTTGCTCAGGCTGATTTCGAACTCCTGACCTCGAGCAATCCGCCCGCCTCGGCCTCCCAGAGAGCTAGGATTACAGGCGTGAGCCACCGCGCCCGGCTTGTTTTTTATTTTTAAAGATGGACAATATTAAAACACATCTATGTGGTGATGTATTACAGGTTGAGCATCTGAAATCCAAAAACCCAAAATCTGAAATGCTCCAAACTCTGAAACTTTTGAGTACCAATATGATGCCACATGTGGAAAATTCCATACCTGACCTCATGTGATGGGTTGTAGTCAAAACTTTGTTTCATGCACAAAATTATTAAAATTATTTAATAAAGTTATCTTCAGTTATATGTATATGATATATATGAAACATGAATGAATGAATTTTATGAAAAATTTCATTAAAAGTGAATTTCATGTTTAGACTTGGGTCTCATCCCCAAGATATCTCATTATGTATTACAAATATTCAAAAATCTGAAAAAAGCCAAAATCTGACTTGGGACTTTTAGTTCCAAGCGTTTCAGTTAAGGGATATTCAACCCGTACAAAAGGAGTCACTGAGAGCATGAGAAGGGATGGCATCCAGGGCAAATGGAATGGCTGGCTTTTGAAAGAAAAGGGATACTTCTGCTGCTGTAATAAAAGGGAAGGAATATACAGTACCTTCCTGCCTATTACTACAGATGACATAGCTATATGCTCCTACCTAAAACAATCCCTCTGCTTCAGTCTTATTAATAGATCCCATATCCTTTCGCCTATTCAAGAACACTGTCCCAGCATTCTCCTCCCACTCTAGCCTCACTAGTTTTTTCTGTCTCTAATGAATCATATCATTTTCTTAATTCTCCCATGTGAAAGGAAAAAAAAAAATCCTTTCTTGATTTCATTCTCTTCCTTTCTCTGCAGCAACTCTTCAAATACTAGTCCTTCCAGCTACACAGAAGCAGCAGTGTGTTGTGGTTAAAGCATGGACTGTGGTGGCAGAATGGCTATGTCTGAAACTTGCCACCACTTTTACTAGCTGTGTGACTGTTGACAAGCCATGTACACTGCTGCCATCATGGTCAGGTCTCACCAGGACAATTGCAATGGCCTCCACGGCTCTCTGTTTCTACTCTCCTTTGGTCCCCTTCACCCACTCCCACCCCAACACAGCACTCAATGATTCTTTCAAAACTTAAGTAAGATCATGCCACGCCTCTCCTCAAAGCCTTCCAATGTCTCTGTCTCCCAGAGAGTAAATGCAACATCCTTACAGTGGCCTCCTGGGCCCAATGTAATCCCCTTTCCACCAAACCCTCCCACTTCATCTCCTGCTTCTTTCCTCTTGGCTCACTCTACTCTAGTAACCCGTACTCCTTGCTACTGCCCAAACATACCATACCCCTGACTTGGGGCCTTTGCACCAAATATACTGTCTACTTGAACACTCCTTCCCAAGATATCTGCATGACTAACTTCCCTACCTCTTTCAAGTCTCTGCTCAGATGCTACCTGCTCAATAAGGCCGTCCATGTCTTTCTGCCCAGCCACCGGCTCTCACAATCTTCCTCCACCTGCTCTACTTTTCCATCTCCTAACATAGTCTATATTTTACTTACTATGTTTGCTGTTTACCATCTGTCTCCCTACCTTACAAGGGATGCCCCCTTACAACTAGAATTAAGCTCCATGAGGATCTCCAGTATCTAGAACAGTGCCTGACACAGAGAGAATACTTGATAAAGACCTAATGAATGAAGTATGTGGGTACTGATACAGGCAGAGTGTTTAAGTTGATGATGGAAAGATGAGGTGCTTCTAATCTGACTGTATTCGTTTCCCCGTATGAGACAATATTTATCATGAGGCAATATTCCCTGTATGAGGAAATATTTCATCAATACGGAGAAGGCAGATAGAGAACACTTAAGATAGTCTCTTCGGAGAGTAGAAAAATCGATTACTAGGGAAGTATATTAAGATTGTTGGGTAGTTTTGAACAGCCTTTTACTTGTTGCTTTAAACCTGAGATGAGTCCAGTCTATGCTTTAGAAAAACACTGATAGGACAAGAAACTAATGTTTAAAAACACAGAACAAAACCAACAAAAAACAAATAAGATGTAACTACATTTTAAAAGACGCTTGGTGGTACTTTAGAATGAGCCAGCATTTATTTCAGTTATGCTATTTTGCCCTATTATGTTAAGGGTTTGTTTAACGTATCTATTCCTTGCTTAAAATTAAAACTCTTTATTTGCTCTACCAGGAACTTCTTACAGAGCAGGCCATGTTTCTGAGTATGACATGAAAGACCTCATCTCCTGCTACTCCTTTCTCATATTGATACTCCAGCAATTCCAAACTCCTTACAGACCCTAGAAATATGTTGTTTACCACTACTGTGCTTTTGTATATACAACTCTCTTTGGCTGTATGAATAACCTTTTCTAGCCCAACTTTGAAATAATTATTCCTTCAAGACTCACATAATAAAGTCTTCCTTGACTCTCTAAGACACAATGATCACTGCCTTTATTGTTAGCCCAGTACTTCTATTATTAAACTTTTACACATTCTACTGTAATACTTTAAATCATCTGTTTCCTGTACTACACAGTGACCTCCTTGGGGGAAAAGATTATCTTATTCACTTTGAATCGTCAATATTTAGCATAAATACCTGACATACAGTGGGTACTCAACATATAAATATTGATTTAATGAGAGTTTAGTGTGGATGTGTGTCTTTTTAAAAAAACATTCAAGGCATCTAACATCCAGGAGGTAATACATCTAGGAGCCTTAAAAAGATAATCATCCATTCTGATATTTGAATAAAGGTAATACATACCACATTATTTTCACTATTAGGTTTGCTTTGGGCCTTAAATAAAATCTAGTTCTTTCTTAGAGCTGACCTGAGGGATGTCTTTTCCTAAGGGAAAGAATTTAAAAACGAGCCATTTTCAGTCATGTATGAGGTATGTCTTCTTTTAAACACAGGCCTATTTCAGACAATCAAAAATCCATTCTTCTCAAAGTCATGATGGATGCCTTCAACTTTGCAGCTGTCTTAAATATTTCTAACAAGCCTTTTTGATGAATTAATCAGGTTTTTGTGGGAAAGAAGACAAAAATTTGGGAAAATTTGGAGGTTTGCTGCTTGGAGGAGGAAGGGTTGGAAATCTCATGCCTTTTGGTCATATAATAATGCTTAAAAATTTAATAAATAAGGCAGTAATTAAAAACAAATAGGCTATGATGAACATAAATGAAGAGTTTAGGTGCTGACTTGGTTTCTTAGAAAACTGAAGCAATTGTGACTGATGCTAATTTTAGTCCTTACTTTGTCTGTCCAATTCGGTGCACCCTCCCTATGGCCTGAAGCTCATGGGCAGGGTTCAATATGGGCTCCACCAAGAGAACATGAGTTGCTTCAATGATAGTTAATCCATTAGAACCTGTGTGCAGGGGCAGCAGCAAAATATTGATTTGGGGATCACGTTTAAATGCTGAAAGGTTCTCCTAAAAAAGAAAGGTACATTTTAATTTTAGCTGGATCAGTTAAAATAAGAGCAGTATGTTATAGCCCACTAAAAAGCGGTCTAATGGTATCCATTAGGTCTTTGTGAAATGTAACTACTAAAGAAAATTAAATGCAAAATTACCAATTTTAGACAATGTAAACTTGTTGCTTGACTTTAATTATGAGGAAAAGTATCACATAAGCTCTCTTATTCTTTATAATATATAGTGCAATGACATCACAAGATAGATACATGCAGTATATGCAATTTAAACTATATAAGCTTAGAGGACAGAGAGAAAGAAAAAGATGTGCTAGAGTTCATGTGAGATAAGAGACATGAATCTGCTAAATTTTCATTTGGTCTTTGTGTGTGTGTTAGGGTGTGTACCTGTCACTGTGCTCAGAGTGATGTAAGGACAATTTTGACCATATGCAATTTTGCCTGACACAATGTCTTTAGAACCTATTCCCTGGGGCACCAGGCCCCTATTCATTCAAAAGGTATATCATAGTCAACCTTTTCCTATATTAAAACAAAAAGACCCCAAGTCAGAAGATCTATAAAAAAAAAAAGATGGTCTTGTTATGGCTATAACTGAATAGACCAAAACACCTATGGTTTCTCTACTTTGCTTTTAAATGTTAATTTTATAACTCATCAAGATATCAAACCCTGTTTATGTGGCTTATATGACACAAGACAAGAAATGTAAGTAAGCTACTTAATAGCAGTTTCATTTTGCAACTGACTCTACTACAAAAAAACAGGAGTAAAATCTTGACATACCTGAAATGTCTTAACACGACTGATCTGTGCAAATTCCATGTTGTTGTCAGTGAGAGCTTTTGAAATAATGTCTAATACATCTTGCCACTAGAACACATAAAACAATAAGAAAACCAATATTTGCACATAGCTTTTATCTAAAGAGGAATTGAAAAGGGACCAAATCAAATTAAATTTTATAAGGTTAATTAAATAAAAACAAAAACAAAACCCTTAAATGCAGTACTATCAATATTATTTAGTTCTATCTTTAAACAGTAGTGGTATATATTTTTATTTTTTGCATCAAATGCTGGGTCAAAAATAGGGTAAAAAACATTAATATTTTTGAAAATTGAATTAAAATAAACCAATATTAGAAAAGAAATAATGCAATGTGTATTGGATGTGGTTACTTATCTTCCAAAAATGAAAACTAAAAATTTTTATTTAACCTTTTATTTAGTAAATTAATTTTCTTTTTCTTAAACACCATATTCAGTTTTGAGATGAGGCTTTCAGGGTTAGTGATTTTAATTTTTAAAACATTAAATTATTAAATTTATTATTAAATAAAATATTAAAATCATAATATAATAGTAATTCTAAATCTTAATTATATTATGGTAAATATTAAAAATACATTCTTAGATATAAGCTGATTAGAGACAGGAAGTCAGTCCAAGTTAATACTGAGGATCAAAATGTTGATTTTACCGTTGAGAAAACGAGAGCTTTCGCCCCTGGATCTCTAAGCTGTATTTTCATCAGAGTTCTGACCACAGCTTCCACTTTTGTAGAATGGCTGCCCTTTTAACAAAAAGGAAAAAAAAAAACCACATCACTACCAAATAAAATACAGTTAACAATGGAAAGGAAAAGCAATGTAAAACACTTTTTATTATCAAAACTGTATGCGCATCAAAACAAATTATCAGGTGCATATGTGTTTACTCTTTTTAATTTTGTGCTTGCTGGAGATTTTCTTTAGCCTCAAATCTTAGAAATTATGAAATTTACACCCAGAGAGATCTGAATATAAAAGCACATCAGAAAGTCATAAAATGATACAACTCTGAAGATAAGATTTTTTTAGTTAGGTAGCCAGGTTTTATAGTTAAAAATTTTTGTTACATTAGCCTAGCAGAATTTATATGTTAAAACACTCTTCACTTACTTCAGATATTCTGGCATTAGAAAGGTTAAGCTACAATGAATCAAAACTCCAATGTAAGCTAACAGTGAAGGATCCAACCAATAGAATACTTTCTTGCAATGCCATTACCCAGGACAAGGCTAAACACTTAAAAGAATGTTTTATTGCATCTTTCATAATCATTTCTATCAGGAGAGGATGAAAACGAGAAAATGATAAAAAATGGAAAAATAAGAAAATGAGGAAAATAGAGTATTTTTGTAGCCCTCAATGAGAAGTTTTCTCCTGGAGTATTACTTTGGGAGATGGTATGACATAGAAATTAAGGGCATGGGAAAAATCTAAATTCAACACCCAATTCTGCAACTCACTAGCTATATAGGTTCTAAGCTTTCTAACTCTTCGTTTCCTCATCTGTCAAACAGGGATGATAATTTTATTAATTTCCAAAGGTGGAATATTGCAGTGACTCTGCTTGTATTTACAGCTTTGGGTACATGTGCAAATATATTTATTGGATGGGTATGAAGTAGAATTGGTTTATTAATTTCCAAAGGTGGAATATTGCAGTGACTCTGCTTGTATTTACAGCTTTAGGTACATGTGCAAATATATTTGTTGGATTGGCATGAAGTAGAATTGGTTAGAACTTATTAGATATTTGGGTTTTAGTAGATTTCTCACCAAACTGTTCTAAAAATGCCACAACTTTTACCTATCATGTGTGTTTATTTCTTTGCACACTTGCTAAAGTTTATTATTATTTTTTTGACAATCTGATAGGTAATATGAGGAATCAAATTTACATTTAGTCTGCAATTCCCTGAGAGTGAGTTTGAACATTAGTTGTTAGTCATTTAGAATTTTTCCTCTGTGAAATGTCTATTCTATGCTTTGCTAATTTTAAAAAATTGGGATATCCTTTTTTACTGATTTGTAGGACCTCTTTATATATACTGTAGATGTTAAACTTAGGTTGTAAATATTTTCCTATCTCTGTCCATAGTTCACATTTAATTCTGTTAAATGCAATAATGTAAGTAAGCATGCTATATTAATATATTACATAGTTACATTAACTCACAAGTGCTTGATGAATGATATATATCTCGATTTAATTATGTATCCTTTGACTTTACTATTTTATTATTTTTGTGTTTGACATTTAAGTTAGTTTATATAAGTGATTTTATTTGAAGAATAGCATTTTCCTCAATTAGTTGTCCTGATTTGGTTCTATTTAATATATAATTTCATGATATTATGTTGAGTATCCTACATTTCTGTCTTCCATCAGTTAATATGTTGTTTGAAAACAAGAATCAAATGGCATTTACCTTTGCATCACCTACAACCTTAATTATGGTCCTTTGTAAATAGTATGCAAGCTATTTAATGCAAAAAAAATTAATATTTATACTTAGGCTTTTCAATTGAAAACATGCTAAGTAAAATAAATGAATAAACTAAAAATAAAGAGGAGTCAGGATATGATTTACAACTCCCAACATATTTTCATTCATCCAAAATGATCAACAACAGGCAAATCAAATCTTGCGATTAATCTCTAGCTTTCCCACTTACAAAAGCTAGAGAGACTCTGACAAGAGCAGTTGTGAACAAAAAGGGGATTTGACCTAACACAAAGCAGGCTCCAAAGGGGATTTTGTGTTAGGTATTGTGTAATGAGATCATTGGAACTGGTATTAAAATAAGCCAACAACCGGATGGTGGTACCACTTCATTCAGGATTATCAACACTGTTATTTTTCACCTATCAGCAGCTTTAGGAAAGATTAATAAGGTCAGCAAACCTTATGGGCCTTTATTTCCAATCTTTAGGATCACTGATTCCTACCATATTAGGCCCTTATTCATAAACTTTTTTCTTTCTCCCCTGGTTGTGGTTCTTCATTTCCAAATAAAAAGCAGAAGTACAAAAACAATACTGAAAAAACCATGGTTGTTCTAAGAGTAAACCAATCAATAAACAGATAGGGCAGACTTTCTTCTGCATTTTTCCCCATTTTCACTCAAGTCCCTCCTCCAACATTTCATGTAAGTTCACCTTTGATTATTCAAATCATTTTATTTAACAAAAACTTACTGTGCACCAAAGTGACAAGAACTACATTAGGATGAATGATATCAGCAAGAAAGTGGAATAGGAGGTCCCTTGCTTGTATCTTCTCATAGCAACAACTTTGCAGCCATCCATACACAAAAGTGTCTTTGTGGAAGCTTTTGAATTCAGGCAGGAGTCTGCTAAACTGTGGTGGAACTCATGACCTTTGCTTTTATAGGGCAGACCTGGGACTAGGTGACAGACTCACTGACCATGGTCCTGGCTCCAGACCCAGAAATGGCCTTGCTCACCTGCAGGTTTTCTATAGCCCTGTTTGGCCTTGATCTTGCTATTGAAACTAGTTTGTAAAGACTGAAAGAGGTGTTTGCTCCTTCAATTATCATTTGAATTAATTTAGTAATCTTTTAAAAATACTGTAAGAATGTCTTATAACTAGAATTTTTTAATATTTTATCTGAAAAACAATCACTTTAAAGAAGACAAATTTATAAAACTTATCTTTTTCCCCTCCTCCCCTATAAAGAAAACCATGTTTTCTAATCAGTAATATGAACTGGGATTATATTTAGTGATAGGTAATAGATTTTCTTCAGGTTTCCTTAGTGGTTTATAATTTGCAAATAAATTAAGTATTCCTATTATTGTTTGGTATAGGGGAAGTCATTCCCTATTTTGGTATTATTTTTCATTACTTTTGGACTTTTCTTTTTAAAACAGAAGTAATGCCTTCACTGTGCCTGTGTTGTCCATAGTAGGTTCAGCTGAATAAGATCAGTTAACATTGTTTTATTTCTGTCTGCACCTGTTCACCATGCTAAAAATCTATGCTGGTAATGACAGACGTAATTTAGTATGGTTATGAAGCTTATATGATTGGTACTACTAAGTAGGACTACTTTTCAAGCATATGCCTGGGGTTAAGTACTGGGTTCTTTGAGCATTTGCATTTTACTTGAATAAAGCTCAATGGAAATTCTACGTAGGCAGTGGGAAATCTTACAAGTGTACTAGGCCATAAAAATATTATCCTGTCCTTACATTGCATAATTTTACTTCAAACAGATAAGTTAGCAATTGCAAAAATGTTAAAAATTTTATTTGGATCCAAAGGTTCTTGGGAATATTATACATAAATGCTATTCAATTACTATCCATCTATACATCCAAATACTGAGAGCCTGCCTATGCTAGGCATTGTTCTAAATGCTTGGGATACAATAGTGAATAAAACAAAGTCCCTACATTATCAACAATGTCCACTCTATATTTTAATGGAGTTATGTTCTACAAAGGATTAAGTTTTTCATAAAGACAATTTCATAAAGATAATTTATACTCTATGTCTTAGAAGTCTCTATTGTGGTTCAATTTATTGTAAGCTATGGCTAACTTTAATAGGTGACTAATAGTTCAGAATTTTAAGTGTTAACTTGGCCAGTGAAAAGAAATTTAGCGGTTTTTGTGTAATTATAGTCACAACATATTGTAACAAAAACATATACTTCCATTCTAAATTTATCAGTTAATATTCATGTATGTTATATAAAACACGTTAGATCTTAAAGAAGACTATTTAGATGAATATATTTAAATATAATCACTTGTGGATTATATTTGCCAAATTATTTTATGCCTACTTTAAACCAGCCAGAATTATAATCAGTGTTTTTCTACCCAGATGTTTATTTTTTTTATTTTTTTATTTTTTTTTTTGAGACAGAGTCTCACTTTGTTGTCCAGGCTAGAGTGAGTGCCGTGGCATTAGCCTAGCTCACAGCAACCTCAATCTCCTGGGCTTCAGTGATCCTTCTGCCTCAGCCTCCCGAGTAGCTGGGACTACAGGCATGTGCCACCATGCCCGGCTAATTTTTTTATATATATATCAGTTGGCCAATTAATTTCTTTCTATTTATAGTAGAGACGGGGTCTCGCTCTTGTCAGGCTGGTTTTGAACTCCTGACCTTGAGCAATCCGCCCGCCTCGGCCTCCCAAGAGCTAGGATTACAGGCGTGAGCCACAGCGCCCGGCCTCAGATGTTTATTTTAATTATATTTTAAAAATATAAGACAGGGCTGGGCACAGTGGCTCACGCCTGTAATACTAGCACTCAGAGAAGCTAAGGCAGTAAGATTGCTTGAGGTCAGGAGTTTGAGACCAGCCTGAGCAAGAGCAAGAGCAAGAGCCTGTCTCTACTAAAAATAGAAAAAAAATTAGCTGAGTGTGGTGGCATGCACCTATAGACCCAGCTACTCAGAAGGTTGAGACAGGAGGATTACTTGAGCTCAGGAGTTTGAGGTTGCAGTGAGTTACAATGATGCCACTGCACTCTACTAAGGGTGACAGAGTGAGACTTTGTCTCAAAGAAAAAAAAAAGTACGACACAGATGTCACAAGTTACCTTTGAATCAACTGAAAACAAAAACAAAAAAGAAAAACAAAGAAAAAACAGGATCCTATACATCGCAGAATTCTACACATACTATAGCTAGGCTTCTCTCAGAGTTTGAGCGTAGAGATCCAATATTTTTTTCTTTACAAAGGACTGAGACATCTCTACTATCAATAGAT